TATATACTTCATACAACGCAAAATGAATAAACATTTTAGAGAAGTGCACTTTGTTGACCATTGACTAAACGCACGCTTTGTTTGTTTTTTTTTTTTGATATCCAGGTATCCCAACTTATATTAGACTAATTCCTGGACCCCCAAGACCCTTGCCCCTAAAATTTTGGAGGGGGTAAATCTCGGGTTATGCCTCAATTGGATCGCAGGTTTCCCCCACCGTCTGTACACTTCTGCGCACAAGAGATCTTCTTCCAAAGTGAATGCTCCATACCAAATAAATCTGGCCGTAGGTTCCCACCAAGATTCGAACCTTCACCCTGCCGCTGAAAGCAAGACAAATGTTGATTGATCTACCAGTTAAGCTATGCCCTGGGGGGCAAACGCATGCTTTGTTAACAATTGATAGAGTTGAGCTAAGCTCTTACGCAATGTTAAAAGAACCATATGGTGAACTCAAGGTAACATATTCAAGATCACATCATCAAGTCTCTTAAGCCGTCGAATTATCCTAATATTAATTTCACGGAATTGAGGATTAAATTAAAAGTAGTTCATTTCCTATTGTTTTGTTGAGTAAAAGTTGTTTCGTCCAAATATTATATGGTTTAAATCCAATTTCATTATCAAATTTCATATCTTTGCAAGGTATAAAACTTAAAAGAACAAGATCAGCATAGAAATAAGAGCACGAATCTGATTAATCTTTAAACAATAAAGATTAAAGAAGTTTTCACTTTAGAATCAATTAAAGAAGAGCATTTGCTTAAAAACATTGATACATTGGAACCAAGAGTCTAATTAATTTAAAGAGTGGGTTTGGCACCAAATTTAGATAATCATACTCACTTTCTATAATTAAATGCATCCAAAGTATTTCAATTTTCAATGTAAAAAAAGAATATAATAATCTAGAGAAAAGTTAATTAAAATAAATGATAAAGAAAATGATAAATGTTTTTTGGGAATAGTAAAATTAAATATTAGATATAAAGAACCAGTTAGAGTACTTCAAAAATTTTTCTCTCTAAATTTATAAATGCTCTCTAAAATATAGAATAAGTTCTTTAAAAATAGAGAGTCTCTTGAAAATGTTCTTACATATTATTAAACATTTTAAGCTTTGCCGAACCTGAACTTCACAGGTTTGTACATAAAGCTTGTGGTCTTCAAGAAACATATTATTCTCTAATTAATTAGACTGATGGTTTAAATTAAAATGTGAATTTAAAGAGTCTATTGGATTACTATTTTAAGGGTTGACTCTTTAAAATAAAAAGTATTTCATGTTTAACAACTCTAAATAATTAAGTTTGAAAAAATTGTTGCCAAAGTCGAACATAAGTTACTTATTTTAAAAGAGACTTTTGCCTTATTGTTGAAATTTTTTTTTGTTACTTTTAATAAGAAAAAAGTACAATATATCTAAACATATTTAAAGACTAAAATTTAGTTAAAAGTAAATTCAAGTGTTGAAAAAGTCGAAGTTTAGGGGGTCAAATAACCTGATGCTCATTTACTATGCTAATTTCTTATATTACATAATTCAGACAGAATGATTTTCCAAGAAAGAAAGGATTAAACACTAAACCCGTGACAGATTTGTTGCATCATCATGGAATTGCCAAATTAACTATCAGAAATAAAGTTTATGACTTTAGAATCTTCAAAGAAACATACAAATAATTTGGAATACTTTTAAAATGACTGAGTCTTTAAAAGTAGTGGGGAGCTATCAGTCTTTTCAGTTTCTTCTTGCCCTTAAAAATTTCTGTCTTAAATCCAAATCCAAATCCCGCCCTAATTTTCTGGATAACGAATACTGCTAGTGCATCTTTGTCAAATGTCAACATAGGCGACATGACCTCGAGCTTTATTAAATTAAAAAAAAAAAAAAAAAAAGGTTGAACCCCAACCTTGAGGACCTCCACCGTCCCGTCCTTAGAGCTTTGTAAGGGAGGTAAATTGCGGGATGTGTCTCAACAGGTCAGGGAACAAGAGATGCTTGTACACTGCGCCTACAAGGAGTCCAATTCCATGTCTCAGGAATCAAACTCCCATACTGCGACTGCCAGCAAGGCGTGAAATAATCTAACTCTTGTCCTTTGCACCACTGGATTATGCTACCGGGGGGCAACGTCGAGCTTTATTCGCAGTATCAATGAAATCAATGAACAAAGCTGCATTGGATTACACGTAAAATTATTTTATGCAAAAATGTGACTAAAATGAGTTTGAAAAAACGATTTTTTGAAAAATTGGAGCCCAAACAGTGGCTAAAGTGGCAATACCACTAAAATAATCGGTGTGCCACGTCAATGTCCGTGGGAGATATTTATTTTATTCTTGAATTGAAAGTGTTATAGGAGATATTTATATTATTTCTGAATTAAGAAGCGAGTGAAAAAATTGTGTAAAAAGAAAGAAAAATAGGTGACTCCCTAAAAAGTAGTCAAAAGCAGTATTTCCATCTCAAAAGACAGATCACACTTGCTTTTGGTTGCTTCATTGAGGTAGAAATACTTTAGCAAATATCATTTTGAATACATTTTCTCGATTGAAATGCAATAAATAACGGATAACCCACAAATTAATTGCACTATTTATCCTCGAGAAAACAAAATAAATTAGAAAATAATTCAGCGAAAATGTATGTAAAGTAGAGTTGGGGCTGTTTTTTTCACCGGAAAAAAAAAAAGTATTGAACTCCGTGGTGTACGTGGTAGCATTGGACCATTTCCCCCCCTAAAATTAAACCAAAAAAGAAAAAATAAGTTATGTACAATCAATCTTTATTTTTTATAAGCCGAATCCGTAAAAAAATTGTGCTCTGACCAATCATTTTACACCTCTATTTTAAAAGTATTTCACGTGTCTATTTCGGCATTAATTTCTAAATAGAGTTTTCCAATCTCTAAATGCCTTTCAAAAGAAAAGCATGATAATCTGAACATAATCTAGAAATCATTAGTCGATTACTAGCTAGGGAAGCATATAGCCTTAAGGGAAAGAGGAAAAGAGAAAAGCAAAGAGGGAATTAAATATTGCTATTAGTAGCTATTTCTATAGGGTAATGTTATTCGTAATGAAGACTGTCAGTAATCGTTCTATGTGGCATACACTTGGCAATTTGACATTTGATATATAGATATAATAGTTATTTTTTGAATTATACATCAAATGAAAAACTGACAAGTGTACGCTACATAGGCCAACTGTCGATAGTCTTCACTGCGAATGGCATTATTCATTTCTATATGTAAGGCAATACAACTTTTTCTTATTGCTGGGCAATAAAGATTATCCGGCACAAATTCCCACGCTAAACACGCACAAAAGACAGAGGTGTGGTGTTCACAAAAGGTTAGAGGGTTGGAATGGAGACAAAGTTTCCACACATTGAACTCTTGCAGTGTTCTTTAATAAAGGAAAAAGGTAGAAATGGGCGTTATTTAAAGGTGATCACACTATCATTTCTGCAAGAAAGTAAGGGAAGTCTTGGATCTCAAACTCACATCAATCACCATATAATTAGAATCTCTCTCTCCTCTCTTTCAATGATCAAAGCCTCGGATCACTCAATCATCAGATTCGAGAGAGAGATTGTGGGACCGATGAAAAGAATAAGAATTATGGCCAAGAGAGGGTGATGACTAGTCAAAAAGAGCAGAAAACATTAAAGTTAACGAGAATGTTTTTTAATGAAATGATGCCGGTTTTAATGTAGGAATTGGGTTTCAAACAATTTTCTTGCAAATCCAAAATAATAAATTAGTTGGAAATTAAATAGGGTAAATTCTTCCAGTGGGTTCCAACTTTTCATAAATACGACGGTCATGGAAATAATCTCACGCTTACAATGAACAGAAGTTATAATGTCTACCTAGTGATATTATCACGTCAATAGGTCAAACCTATTTTCTTTTGGGGAAAAAAAAAGTACAACTTGATTGCCACGTCAACGGTGAGCAATTGTTATCTTGATCATTATGTGCAGAAAGTCAGCTCTGATGAGGTTTTATATTCTACTTTTCGTTTGCAATAAAAAAAATTCTTACTTAGTACTCGCCATTCTTCAATTATTATAAGGAATTTAAAAAATTATATATAGAAAAACTAGGAGAGCATATTCTTCGGTGCAAAGACGTAGGAATACCACTCTTCTTAAATGGTAAGGTAGACTTCATATACTGAAGGTGTTCATTTTCTTATAAAAATAAATAAATAAATAAAATATCTTCAACGTTGTTGTGCTCTCTAATCCTATTGTGGACCAAACATGTCCTAACAGGACAGATTACCTTTCAGATTATAACATTCAAAAGAAAATGCATAAATAGAGCCAGTAATTTACATTTCCTGCAAGAATATCAAGGCTTGCAAGCAGAATAGAGGAATTATTGGCATGTTTTGAACTGCTAAAAGCCCTCTTTCTGAGCAGTATATTACAAGAAAACAGGCAATCTATGAATAAGCTCTACAACGCAGTATATTACAATATGCACCACCTTCACAGGCAAAGGAAGAAACATCATGTACAAGAAAGTGACCCCATAGTTGTCTAATAAAAGACTAAAAGTCGAGGCCTGTCAACCCCATTACATAGATTAGCATTGGATAGGATGTCTACCGCTTGGGGTCATTTAAGGTCTTACCCTCGAAAAATTCACCAAGCATATGTTCCAGATCCTCTGGATTGTATCTGATGTACTTCTGAGGGTTCTTACCGTTCTCAACCAAGGGCCTGAAACATACGTCAAAAATCCAAATTCCAAATTCGTTAAACCAGAATATACTCGTGTTACACGAGGAGAGGGTGATGTTAACAATAAGAAACAGAATATACAATTCATTTGCAGCAAATTAGAAATACTATGCCTCCAATATAGAATCATTATCCTAAGCTTTTGATGTTATAAAAAATTAATATGCAAGATATGGGCTCCATAGTTTCATTTAGGATTCTTTTCATGAATAACATAAACAAAAATATATTCGGCAAATTACAGCATTGGTTCCCAACCTATTGGCCTAGTAGCAAGTTGGTCTCTAACCTTCCGTGATATTTGCAAGATTAAAAGCGCCCAAGGCTTCAAACTCAACCTAATAATCACTTCCAAAGAAATGGAATGATTATAGGATCAAGAAGGTCATAAATCAGTTCCAATTAAGAAAACTGTCAAAATCTCTTTTTAAGATTCGTAGCCATCACATGTCCAACTTTATGAAAAACCTAAGTTTTGTTTCCCAACTTGAGCTAGTTCCCAGAAATTTAAAGCGGGGCATGACTCTATGAGGACACACTTTCATATTAACGAGAGTGGGACCATATCTATAGCCGGAGATTGATTGTAAATATATAATGAAAAAGTTTTAGTCCACCAACTTGCATCTTGGGGAATAGTATGAGGCTCAACCAATTTTCCCGTATATAGGAATAGAAAGATAACATCAGAATTCGTGTGGAAATGTTATGTATTTTTTTTTACCAATAATAAAGAAAATGTACCCGAAGCGTTTAATGAAAGATCGGTAAGCTGGAAGCAAGACTTCAGCAACTGCGAGCCTCAGGGATTCTCTTAATTCAGTGTCAGGAACTGTCCATTGAGATTGTCTTTGATGGAGTTCCTCAAATTGCATATTAAATGTCTTCAATCTAGTAATGAAATACAACAGATTCAGTCAAATCACTTTTTAAGTCAATTAATACAACTCAACAAGCAAAAATTGTTCTCCAGAAAATAACAACTCAAACACACCTGTCTTTGATAATTGCTCTTGAAGCTCCGCTACTATTTCCTCCATCCATGCCAGCAACACTGCCGCCTCCAGAAGATGTCAGGCCTTGAACAGAGAGGCACTGCAGAATCTGCAGAAGGAAATGCAAAATAATTTTATGTACAATTTTATAAACAAGTACTGAAGTACAGGAGCCTTTATACAACAGGCGGTGTTCCATTCTTCAGTATTCTCAAATGACAGGAGGAAAATAATGTTCCTGGTCCAGCAGAGAGCAAGAAATAGGGTAGAAACTCTATTGGTAATTGATAGATTGCATGTGGCATTTTGAAAATTAAAATGTGAATTTAAAGAGTCTATTAGACTACTATTTTAAGGGTTGACTCTTTAAAATAAAGAGCATTTCATGTTTAACGACTCTAAATAATTAAGTTTGAAAAAATTGTTGCCAAAGTCGAACATAAGTTACTTATTTTAAAAGAGACTTTTGCCTTATTGTTGAAATTTTTTTTTGTTACTTTTAATAAGAAAAAAGTACAATATATCTAAACATATTTAAAGACTAAAATTTAGTTAAAAGTAAATTCAAGTGTTGAAAAAGTCGAAGTTTAGGGGGTCAAATAACCTGATGCTCATTTACTATGCTAATTTCTTATATTACATAATTCAGACAGAATGATTTTCCAAGAAAGAAAGGATTAAACATTAAACCCGTGACAGATTTGTTGCATCATCATGGAAGTGCCAAATTAACTATCAGAAATAAAGTTTATTACTTTAGAATCTTCAAAGAAACATACAAATAATTTGGAATACTTTTAAAATGACTGAGTCTTTAAAAGTAGTGGGGAGCTATCAGTCTTTTCAGTTTCTTCTTGCCCTTAAAAATTTCTGTCTTAAATGCAAATCCAAATCCCGCCCTAATTTTCTGGATAACGAATACTGCTAGTGCATCTTTGTCAAATGTCAACATAGGCGACATGACCTCGAGCTTTATTAAATTAAAAAAAAAAAAAAAAAAAGGTTGAACCCCAACCTTGAGGACCTCCACCGCCCCGCACTTAGAGCTTTGTAAGGGACGTAAATTGCGGGATGTGCTCCAACAGGTCAGGGAACAAAAGCTGCTTGTACACTGCGTCTACAAGGAATCCAATTCCATGTCTCAGGAATCGAATTTTCATACTGCGACTGCCAGCAAGGCGTGAAATAATCTAACTCTTGTCCTTTGCACCACTGGATTATGCTACCGGGGGGCAACGTCGAAATTCGAATCTCCACCCTGCCACTGGAAGCAAGACAAATGTTGATTGATCCATCAATTGAGCTGTGCCCCGGGGGGCAAACGCACGCTTTGTTAACAATTGATAGAGTTGAGCTAAGCTCTTACGCAATGTTAAAAGAGCCATATGGTGAACTCAAGGTAACATATTCAAGATCACATCATCAAGTCTCTTAAGCCATCGAATTATCTTAATATTAATTTCACGGAATTGAGGATTAAATTAAAAGTAGTTCATTTCCTATTGTTTTGTTGAGTAAAAGTTGTTTCGTCCAAATATTATATGGTTTAAATCCAATTTCATTATCAAAATTCATATCTTTGCAAGGTATAAAACTTAAAAGAACAAGATCAGCATAGAAATAAGAGCACGAATCTGATTAATCTTTAAACAATAAAGATTAAAGAAGTTTTCACTTTAGAATCAATTAAAGAAGAGCATTTGCTTAAAAACATTGATACATTGGAACCATGAGTCTAATTAATTTAAAGAGTGGGTTTGGCTCCAAATTTGGATAATCAAACTCACTTTCTATAATTAAATGCATTCAAAGTATTTCAATTTTCAATGTAAAAAAAGAATATAATAATTTAGAGAAAAGTTAGTTAAAATAAATGATAAAGAAAATGATAAATGTTTTTTGGGAATAGTAAAATTAAATATTAGATATAAAGAACCAGTTAGAGTACTTCAAAATTTTTACTCTCTAAATTATAGAATAAGTTCTTTAAAAATAGAAAGTCTCTCGTAAATGTTCTTACATATTAGTAAACATTTTAAGCTTTGCCGAACATGAACTTCACAGGTTTGTACATAAAGCTTGTGGTCTTCAAGAAACATATTATTCTCTAATTAATTAGACTGATGGTTTAAATTAAAATGTGAATTTAAAGAGTCTATTAGACTACTATTTTAAGGGTTGACTCTTTAAAATAAAGAGCATTTCATGTTTAACGACTCTAAATAATTAAGTTTGAAAAAATTGTTGCCAAAGTCGAACATAAGTTACTTATTTTAAAAGAGACTTTTGCCTTATTGTTGAAATTTTTTTTTGTTACTTTTAATAAGAAAAAAGTACAATATATCTAAACATATTTAAAGACTAAAATTTAGTTAAAAGTAAATTCAAGTGTTGAAAAAGTCGAAGTTTAGGGGGTCAAATAACCTGATGCTCATTTACTATGCTAATTTCTTATATTACATAATTCAGACAGAATGATTTTCCAAGAAAGAAAGGATTAAACATTAAACCCGTGACAGATTTGTTGCATCATCATGGAAGTGCCAAATTAACTATCAGAAATAAAGTTTATTACTTTAGAATCTTCAAAGAAACATACAAATAATTTGGAATACTTTTAAAATGACTGAGTCTTTAAAAGTAGTGGGGAGCTATCAGTCTTTTCAGTTTCTTCTTGCCCTTAAAAATTTCTGTCTTAAATGCAAATCCAAATCCCGCCCTAATTTTCTGGATAACGAATACTGCTAGTGCATCTTTGTCAAATGTCAACATAGGCGACATGACCTCGAGCTTTATTAAATTAAAAAAAAAAAAAAAAAAAGGTTGAACCCCAACCTTGAGGACCCCCACCGTCCCGTCCTTAGAGCTTTGTAAGGGAGGTAAATTGCGGGATGTGTCTCAACAGGTCAGGGAACAAGAGATGCTTGTACACTGCGCCTACAAGGAGTCCAATTCCATGTCTCAGGAATCAAACTCCCATACTGCGACTGCCAGCAAGGCGTGAAATAATCTAACTCTTGTCCTTTGCACCACTGGATTATGCTACCGGGGGGCAACGTCGAGCTTTATTCGCAGTATCAATGAAATCAATGAACAAAGCTGCATTGGATTACACGTAAAATTATTTTATGCAAAAATGTGACTAAAATGAGTTTGAAAAAACGATTTTTTGAAAAATTGGAGCCCAAACAGTGGCTAAAGTGGCAATACCACTAAAATAATCGGTGTGCCACGTCAATGTCCGTGGGAGATATTTATTTTATTCTTGAATTGAAAGTGTTATAGGAGATATTTATATTATTTCTGAATTAAGAAGCGAGTGAAAAAATTGTGTAAAAAGAAAGAAAAATAGGTGACTCCCTAAAAAGTAGTCAAAAGCAGTATTTCCATCTCAAAAGACAGATCACACTTGCTTTTGGTTGCTTCATTGAGGTAGAAATACTTTAGCAAATATCATTTTGAATACATTTTCTCGATTGAAATGCAATAAATAACGGATAACCCACAAATTAATTGCACTATTTATCCTCGAGAAAACAAAATAAATTAGAAAATAATTCAGCGAAAATGTATGTAAAGTAGAGTTGGGGCTGTTTTTTTCACCGGAAAAAAAAAAAGTATTGAACTCCGTGGTGTACGTGGTAGCATTGGACCATTTCCCCCCCTAAAATTAAACCAAAAAAGAAAAAATAAGTTATGTACAATCAATCTTTATTTTTTATAAGCCGAATCCGTAAAAAAATTGTGCTCTGACCAATCATTTTACACCTCTATTTTAAAAGTATTTCACGTGTCTATTTCGGCATTAATTTCTAAATAGAGTTTTCCAATCTCTAAATGCCTTTCAAAAGAAAAGCATGATAATCTGAACATAATCTAGAAATCATTAGTCGATTACTAGCTAGGGAAGCATATAGCCTTAAGGGAAAGAGGAAAAGAGAAAAGCAAAGAGGGAATTAAATATTGCTATTAGTAGCTATTTCTATAGGGTAATGTTATTCGTAATGAAGACTGTCAGTAATCGTTCTATGTGGCATACACTTGGCAATTTGACATTTGATATATAGATATAATAGTTATTTTTTGAATTATACATCAAATGAAAAACTGACAAGTGTACGCTACATAGGCCAACTGTCGATAGTCTTCACTGCGAATGGCATTATTCATTTCTATATGTAAGGCAATACAACTTTTTCTTATTGCTGGGCAATAAAGATTATCCGGCACAAATTCCCACGCTAAACACGCACAAAAGACAGAGGTGTGGTGTTCACAAAAGGTTAGAGGGTTGGAATGGAGACAAAGTTTCCACACATTGAACTCTTGCAGTGTTCTTTAATAAAGGAAAAAGGTAGAAATGGGCGTTATTTAAAGGTGATCACACTATCATTTCTGCAAGAAAGTAAGGGAAGTCTTGGATCTCAAACTCACATCAATCACCATATAATTAGAATCTCTCTCTCCTCTCTTTCAATGATCAAAGCCTCGGATCACTCAATCATCAGATTCGAGAGAGAGATTGTGGGACCGATGAAAAGAATAAGAATTATGGCCAAGAGAGGGTGATGACTAGTCAAAAAGAGCAGAAAACATTAAAGTTAACGAGAATGTTTTTTAATGAAATGATGCCGGTTTTAATGTAGGAATTGGGTTTCAAACAATTTTCTTGCAAATCCAAAATAATAAATTAGTTGGAAATTAAATAGGGTAAATTCTTCCAGTGGGTTCCAACTTTTCATAAATACGACGGTCATGGAAATAATCTCACGCTTACAATGAACAGAAGTTATAATGTCTACCTAGTGATATTATCACGTCAATAGGTCAAACCTATTTTCTTTTGGGGAAAAAAAAAGTACAACTTGATTGCCACGTCAACGGTGAGCAATTGTTATCTTGATCATTATGTGCAGAAAGTCAGCTCTGATGAGGTTTTATATTCTACTTTTCGTTTGCAATAAAAAAAATTCTTACTTAGTACTCGCCATTCTTCAATTATTATAAGGAATTTAAAAAATTATATATAGAAAAACTAGGAGAGCATATTCTTCGGTGCAAAGACGTAGGAATACCACTCTTCTTAAATGGTAAGGTAGACTTCATATACTGAAGGTGTTCATTTTCTTATAAAAATAAATAAATAAATAAAATATCTTCAACGTTGTTGTGCTCTCTAATCCTATTGTGGACCAAACATGTCCTAACAGGACAGATTACCTTTCAGATTATAACATTCAAAAGAAAATGCATAAATAGAGCCAGTAATTTACATTTCCTGCAAGAATATCAAGGCTTGCAAGCAGAATAGAGGAATTATTGGCATGTTTTGAACTGCTAAAAGCCCTCTTTCTGAGCAGTATATTACAAGAAAACAGGCAATCTATGAATAAGCTCTACAACGCAGTATATTACAATATGCACCACCTTCACAGGCAAAGGAAGAAACATCATGTACAAGAAAGTGACCCCATAGTTGTCTAATAAAAGACTAAAAGTCGAGGCCTGTCAACCCCATTACATAGATTAGCATTGGATAGGATGTCTACCGCTTGGGGTCATTTAAGGTCTTACCCTCGAAAAATTCACCAAGCATATGTTCCAGATCCTCTGGATTGTATCTGATGTACTTCTGAGGGTTCTTACCGTTCTCAACCAAGGGCCTGAAACATACGTCAAAAATCCAAATTCCAAATTCGTTAAACCAGAATATACTCGTGTTACACGAGGAGAGGGTGATGTTAACAATAAGAAACAGAATATACAATTCATTTGCAGCAAATTAGAAATACTATGCCTCCAATATAGAATCATTATCCTAAGCTTTTGATGTTATAAAAAATTAATATGCAAGATATGGGCTCCATAGTTTCATTTAGGATTCTTTTCATGAATAACATAAACAAAAATATATTCGGCAAATTACAGCATTGGTTCCCAACCTATTGGCCTAGTAGCAAGTTGGTCTCTAACCTTCCGTGATATTTGCAAGATTAAAAGCGCCCAAGGCTTCAAACTCAACCTAATAATCACTTCCAAAGAAATGGAATGATTATAGGATCAAGAAGGTCATAAATCAGTTCCAATTAAGAAAACTGTCAAAATCTCTTTTTAAGATTCGTAGCCATCACATGTCCAACTTTATGAAAAACCTAAGTTTTGTTTCCCAACTTGAGCTAGTTCCCAGAAATTTAAAGCGGGGCATGACTCTATGAGGACACACTTTCATATTAACGAGAGTGGGACCATATCTATAGCCGGAGATTGATTGTAAATATATAATGAAAAAGTTTTAGTCCACCAACTTGCATCTTGGGGAATAGTATGAGGCTCAACCAATTTTCCCGTATATAGGAATAGAAAGATAACATCAGAATTCGTGTGGAAATGTTATGTATTTTTTTTTACCAATAATAAAGAAAATGTACCCGAAGCGTTTAATGAAAGATCGGTAAGCTGGAAGCAAGACTTCAGCAACTGCGAGCCTCAGGGATTCTCTTAATTCAGTGTCAGGAACTGTCCATTGAGATTGTCTTTGATGGAGTTCCTCAAATTGCATATTAAATGTCTTCAATCTAGTAATGAAATACAACAGATTCAGTCAAATCACTTTTTAAGTCAATTAATACAACTCAACAAGCAAAAATTGTTCTCCAGAAAATAACAACTCAAACACACCTGTCTTTGATAATTGCTCTTGAAGCTCCGCTACTATTTCCTCCATCCATGCCAGCAACACTGCCGCCTCCAGAAGATGTCAGGCCTTGAACAGAGAGGCACTGCAGAATCTGCAGAAGGAAATGCAAAATAATTTTATGTACAATTTTATAAACAAGTACTGAAGTACAGGAGCCTTTATACAACAGGCGGTGTTCCATTCTTCAGTATTCTCAAATGACAGGAGGAAAATAATGTTCCTGGTCCAGCAGAGAGCAAGAAATAGGGTAGAAACTCTATTGGTAATTGATAGATTGCATGTGGCATTTTGATAGACTGCTGCTCCAACTATGATATTTCAATGTTAGCACAAACTTAAATTCCACATTCTCATGAACTATTTCCTTCTAAATGGTTTTGTACAACAGTTGTCCTAAAAAGGTTTACCAGCACCCACCATTAAAAATAAATAACACTCAGTACATCACATAACTATCCAATTTTTACTTCCAAAGAAATTAGTCCCAAGCACTGTATTCACTAATTATATCGAGATGTAGAAGGAAGCATAAATGTCGAAGTGCATATCTGCATTAAGATGAGAAAAGCAGATATTTTGACCAAGTCATCACCCTATCTTGGACATAATAAAAGCAGAGGAATGTTCTAATTCCATTACAAGATGAAACTATCATATGAGACACAAACTAGGGTGGTGATCTAGTGTGCTTAATGTGCGCTTGGTGAATGCGAGTACGCTTTCTTAAGCGATATATATGCCTTATATACACATTAAGAGTATGCTGAGCTAATCTTAGAAAGAATTTGAAGTTACTTTTTTGTTTCCAAACATGTTGGGATATTTTAATTTTTTCGTATTTTTAACCAAACCCCCCAACCCCCCCCCCCCCACCCCCCAAAAAAAGAAAAAGAAAAAAACACTTAATTATTTTGATCCTCACTCTCAAAATTACTTCTTCTTTACAACTTTGCCCAATAAAATGAATTATCTATTTAAAACTTACTTATTAAGTAAACTTTTTAATCCTAGCCAAAAACATGCTCCAAGTCCGAGAAGTGAATTCAATGCATCATCACCTAAATAGTTCCTATTACTACAGTGCAAAACAATACTAACCACACATCTAGTAGAAATCATTTCAGGAATTTATGATCTCCACAGGTAGCATTAGTCGCTGGAGCAGCAATAGATCACAAATTCTTAGTTAACTGTGCGCATAATAAGGGGAGAGTAAAGAAGTACCTTTGCCCAAGCAATCCTCTTATATTGATTTGCATGTTGCTGAACAACTCTCCGATGTCGTTGCACCCAATCATCGCCTAACAAATCTTTGGCTTCAGACCTAAAATCAAGACATATATAAGAAACAAATTTGACGAGCACAAAAATCGACTTGATGTTTCAACAATCCATAAAAATGTTATAACCTGCGGACAGATCTGACCATATAATGAATGTTATTCATGAGAAACAAATGGGTCAGAGATGGATCCTTATACTGCTTAGATTTTCCATCCAAATTGGTCTGAAGAGCCTGCATTATACGCATTGTAACATCAGCTAGCTGAGAATTTGAGTCATCTCCATTTTCAAATTCGCGGAAAAGTTGCTTCAATGTTGATTGATAGCTGGACCAAAAAAAAAAAAAAAGGGCATTTTCAGTTGTAGTACACAAATATAGATACACGCAGTCACACAAAAAGCAGAAAACAGCTCATAGCAGAAAATTATAGATAAGTCATTACAGTATATTATATTATTTATCTGGACCAAAAGATTTTGATTAAATGGAAAGTTAAGATTGATGTACATCGTGTAAGATGGGAAAAGTGCCATATGCCCCATCAATGTTATAGAAGATTCTAATTATTTAGAAAAACACAGGTGAATTTTTTATTTCGAATAACAATTAGAGGTACAAGGCGAAATTATCAAAGTAAAGAAAAGATCTAAGAACTCAGACATTAAAATCTCTATGGGTTTTCTATTCCAATTAACATTTTCTGACGATGCACTAATACTGTGTCCTCAAATTTTAATAAGGATAGTGACCGAGTAACATGTTTCTTGTAAAGCCTACAATTTATTTATTTTATTTATTTTTTAAATTGTATTTCACACTAATTTACTGTGAAAGTTTCTTTTAACTTCAATCAGAAGGAAAAAAAAAAAAATACTGAAAGTCCACAATGTTCATGAAAATCCCCATTAAGGGATTGGATTCCGTCCAGCAGAAGGGGACCCCACATTCATAAATCATAACTAATTTATATGACCAGGTTTAGAATGATGAAAGGAATAAATTTGCACTCAAATAGACCCACTCTCTTTTTACCAGTTCAGTTGCTAAAGCTGGTATATCTATTCACTGTTAACAAACAAACGTGTTCTATATATAAAAGCAGAATAACAAGACGAAGATTCTATATGAATGGAATACATAAATAAACAATATCGAGTTCATATTATTTTGTCCAATTCAATATACATTAGAAATATATCGTAGATCATAGTTTCCACTTTCTTTCAGTCCTATATGTTGAGACGTCATCGAATTGCAATCATACACGAGAAAAATGTAAGAATTCAGTGTAACTAAATAGTAATCTATTTGCAAGTTGCAACCTGATTAAATCATTGAACATGCTCTGAGAGAAAGTAGTTATACATAACTGTTTATTGTAATGTTGACTCGCAGTAAGCTATGGATTACAACTTCAGAAAATTACCATACAAGGCATCTTTTTTAAGTTGCTTTCTAATGTAGTTCCAACTTCTTATTTAAAAGGAAGGGTTTTAGAGTTAGTTGACATACTCAAACAGGAATTTCACGTAGTTAATCACATAGCTTGTCAAAGGATGAACTGTTCCATCTGCCACGGCAGTTTTAGTCGCATCTTTTTCAACTGCTTCTTCAAAGTCTCCAAAAGTCTCTTGTGCTGTCTGTGCAAGCCTCTTTGTCAAACCCAAGGCTGACTCTCTGATTTCATTACAAGGTTGACCTCTAAAAAGTGATTCAATCTGCCAAATTTCAGCTTTACAGTTTCAATAAGCATTCCTTAGAGTCACGTGATAATGTTATTAAAGCATAATGCATTTTTTGATTGACACTGAACTTTAGAGTATAATAAATACTTGATATATATATGCCCACAGGAGAAATTTGGAGGAGAACAATCTGAGGAAAATTTTTCTTTAAAATCAAGCTAAAGACTTATACAAGTATTTTGAATTAGTTTTTTAAGTAATATTTAGAGCTAATAAAAGATTTTCCACTCTCATAGGTCTCTCATCATACACGAGGAAGTTACAGCTTGAAAGAAAATGTCCCATACCTCTGAGTGAATTTCTCTCATTATTTCATACATATCCAGAAGCACAAATAACTTTTCAGGGGATCTTTTGCTTTTGGCAATTGCATGTCCAAAACTGAGTAGCACTGCCACGCTACCTGCAGTAACTTCAGCAAAGCACTGATCCATGAGGGGATTGAAGCCTTCAAAAATTTGATCACAAACTTTACGTTCTCCGGCAAACAGCAACTTGACCTGTTAGAAAATAATTAGATTCTCATACAATTAGCTTGTTCAAATCTGCGTGAGCATTAGAGGGAGAACATACAGCAATCCGCATAAAATGGATCCAATTCCCAATTTTAGCTTCCAAAACTTCCCATTGCATCTTCTGAACATCATCTTTGCTAAGCTTTTCTACTCCCAATTTGCGAAGGCTTTCTTCTAAAACTTGAGAACGAGCTTCCCTAAATGAAAGAACAAACAAAATAAAAGAATGATGTGAGATGACTACATTTTAATAAGTTGCAGATGGTTTTAATTTGGTTTCTTAGAACTTGTTCATTACTTGTTGTTTGATCTATCAGTTTGAGACCATTGCAAAATAAAAGGAGATCTGAGAATCCAATCAATTATGGAAGCCTAGCAACATGATCAAGTGATTTTCTCATATTTCCAGAACACCTTCAATTGTTAAATTGATAACCAAAATATAGAAAAATTTTAAAAGTGGTACATCACCAATCATATCAGAGGGAAGCCCCTGTTTGACGATCACTATTTGGGAAGAATAGAGTTTTGAATAGAGATTTTTAGGAAAATGCGTGGTTAAAAAGTAGGGAAAAGTTTTGGACTTATGTACAGAATATTTTATTGGGTAAATGTGTGGTTGAAAATGAATATGTTAAAAAAAGAGTTCGTCGTCAAACAAAGGCTAAATCTATCGTCTTTCAGTTCTCTCTTCTGATATGCCCATGACTAAAAGAATAGTTTCTGTAGCCAAATCTGGTACTCACCTGTATATTATCAGTAACTGCTGCTGATTACCAGCCTCAACCATCTGTAGTGCTAAATCATGCAACAAAGGCAGAATCCGGGGCGGAATAAGAGTTGGTGTTGTGTATGCAGAATTTTCTTCACTATTTTGATGATCAGAGTGACTGTGGGATGATGGTATCATGCCACTGGAATCAGCCTGATCTCCCGGTGACCCAGATGATGGTCGCATAGAATTGGGAAGGCACTCAAAAAGTCGTTCAGGTTCAACAGGTTTGCTGCATAAGCAGGAATTTAGTTTAACATGGAAACAACTAACACCAAATAAAGTTGGGAGTATCATGCATCTTGGTTAATATACAATGTATGATAATACATAACAAGCATCCTGCATAAAGTAGTAATAAATCTGAAAAGTAAAGGAAAAGTTAACAAAGTCAACTTTCAAAATAAATATTGAAACTAGACAGTGCAAATTTCCTAGACGATATATTATCGTTAGTGTGAAGATAAAGGCCTAAGAATTTGTAAGGAAGTTGTATGGTTTTCATTATACACTTTGCATGATCTACCACTTTGTTAGTCAGACAAACAATTTGATACTTCAAGTACAAATATAATATAAGGTTTGTTGCCTGCCTATGGAACTCAAACACAAAATACGTTAAAACAAGATGCAGTATTATTTAAGATTCTAAAACAACTACGATGAAAGCAATATATAAAGTGTAAAACCCTAGATTGCTTAAAAAAACTAGACATAAAACCCTAACAAGGTAAAAGATGAAACTACCCCTAATAAAAAAATCTAAATAACGAGCCTGTTTGGGAGTGATTTTGATAATTGATTTTTTGACCGTTAGGAGAAAAGTGGAGTCCATCTATGAGAGAAGAAATCAAATATGACAGCTAGAATAGTGAAATAATGATCAAAAAATCAATTTTTTGGGAGAAAAAATCACTCCCAAACAGGCTGAA